CCAGCCGTCACAGCACCTACTGACCGCTGAGCCACGGCACTTGGCAAACATGATCTCAGTTAATCCCCACAACAGACCTGGAAGGCAAGTAGTATTGATTCCCATTTTACCTTTGAGGAAATCGAGGCTCAGAGATGTCTTATAATTAGTCAGTGGCTGAGCCGTTATTTAAACCCAGGGCTGACTGAGTATAGGGTTGGTTGCATTTTAAACACCTAAAACCAGCAGAAGCAGCAGTAAGCTTGCGCCAACACCACTATGCACCAGAGATTTTGGGGGAGAGCAAAGGAAGAAAAACCTGGCTCTGACAGTACCTTAACAACACTTAGACCTTAATAACACTAATACTAATAATAGACCTTAATCGCAGTAGCATATGTGTTATGGTTGGTGGCAGTAGGAAAGAACCGAGCAGGAAATACCAGGACCAGATTCTGGTAACCAGATTCAGGTTAATCAAGAAGATTAACCCATACCAGAGGCGGCTCTGCCTCTAATGCTCCTTCCTCCTCTCCCCTTCCACCCTTCTAGACTCATCTTCTCTGGGAAAGCTTTCCTGACCACCCACACAAGTTCCAGCATTAATCCTTGCTCTATGTTTTTTCTACCTTGTTGTTTCTCAGTCGTAGACCTTTCTTATCACATTTTATTTTAGTATTTTATTTATCTTTCTTCCCTACCTGGCTAGAGCACCTTGAGGACAGCACCTGTGTCATGGCCATCTTTGTACCCAGCACCTTGAACAGTTCCTGGTAAATAAAAGCTCAAGTCAGTGTTGCTACTCAATAAATCATGATCCTCTCCTAGTCTTAGTTTTCCAATTTTAAATCCGTATCCTCGCTTTCCCCACATACTGACTTGGATGGGAATCTTGAGTATCTTGTAGAGGACATTCATCAGGGATTACATTTTTTATTGGCTGCCCACCATCTGAGCCCCCTTCATATGTCTGGGGGAACTGCCATCACATGAGACATGGGTCTCATGGGAGGCAGAGTGTGTCTTCCCCTTGTGGACGTTGGAAAAGAGGCCAGACAGTTGCCCTCCTGGATTCCTGGCCGCTGGAGTACAAGCGTATGACCTAAGCTCGGCCCAGCTGATGCTCTTGCCCAAGACCATGAATTTGAAGCAAATGACACAAGAAATAGGGACAATTTAGAATTTGTGCTGGTGGCAGCACTGTTGTTCACTGCTCAGTTGGGAGTGGCAGCAGCATCTTAACCAGGATGTTTCTGTGACGTGGTTTTCCTTCCTTCTGTGATGGTCTCCTTTGGTTCGTATCCATTTTCCAAGCTTAATACTCTAGGCTTCTTGCCAATTCTGTGGTCTTCCTGATATCTCTCAAATAAACTCCTTTCCTGATTAAAATTGCCAGAGTTGACCTCTGTTATTTGCAACCGAGAGCCCTGACTGATACAGCTGGTGGGTCCATGGTAGGTGGTCCTAGATCCTGGGAAGCCAATGGCCAACAAATAACTTCTCTCTGATCCAAACCCAAGACAGAAATACAGGATTACCTCTCAGTCTGCTGTACTGCTAGTTTCCACATCTATTATCACGTTTCATCCTCACAACAGCTCTACTGGTAGGCAGGTGGGGTAGGTAGTAAAACAAGAATTTAAGATGAGACAGGTGAAGCTCAATGAGACTAAATGGCTTCCCTGAGGTCCCCAAACTAGTGGCAGAACCCAGATTACAATCCAAATTTCTTAATTTCCAACCCAAGTCTCTTTCACCAAAATAACGCTGAATGAGTAACTTGTACTGAATTTTTTTAAGTTCATTCACAAATATTCATTAAGGATCTGTTATGTGCCAGTCATTGATTAGGAGACAATGGGATCCTTCTAGTCTAGGCTCAATATTATGTTTTCTGAAAAGTACTGTAAGTATCAGTATGAATATATACATTAATAATACTTTCCATTTAGGAAGCAGTGTAATATTGTTGCTAAAACCTAAGCCAGACTGCTTTGGACCAAACCCTGACTCCCCCACTTACTACCTGTGCGTAGTACATTCTGTCAGTGTCCTGCCCATAACCTCTCAGCCCTCACCCCTACGCCCTGCAGTCTCCTTACTAAGAACACCTGCTACTCACTGTGTGAAGAGTATACTTGGCCCTTGTGCAGGGGAAGCTAGGAATACCAGAGTTAATGTCCAAGCAAGTCCTCAAACAATGATAGATGGAGATTTGGTGTGAAATACCCCAGCTTCCTCAGTCGTTGGTGGGAATAACTCTGAGGAGTATTCCTCACCATCTTCCAAAATTCCCCGATGGGACTGAGCTCCATTTGTCCTCAGTGGCGACCTGCTTGAGCACACAGCTTCCTGGCTCCCTCTCCACTCATTTCCCTACCCCGCTAACTGGCATTTCCTGGGATCACCCCCCAAATAAACTACTTGTATTTGAATCCTTTTCTCGTGGTCTGCTTCTGGGGAAACCCAAACTAAGACACCATGTGACCCTGGGAAAATTACTCAAATAATAACCTGTAAAATGAAGATAATATTACTTGCCTCCTAGGGGCCAATTCATGAAAGAACTTAGCCTGATTCCTGGCATATAATCAGCACTCGGTAAGTGTTAGCCGTTGTTATGTGTGCAGCACTTTTGGTTCTCAGAGAACTTACCCACACATTCTTTCACTTCCTCCTCAATCAGAGCCTCACTTTCCTCTCCAGCTTCGTCTCTAGCCACCCCACCAGACTTCCTGCCTCGCTCCCTGCTGGATGCCGTTCCTTACTTCAGCCTTGCTGTCCCGTGGGCACATCTCTGAAATGACCAATCTCTTTCACATATTTGTGACTCAGCACCTGCTGCCCTTCTTGCCCGGACATACTCCCCCTCTCCAGGTTTATCTCCTAGTAATGCCTACCTGTCTATCAAGCCTCCACCCAGGTTTACGTCCTCTAGGAAGTGTCCTCCATTCTCCTTCTTTCCTCTTCTGTTTCGTCCACACCACACACACACACACACACACACACACACACACTGGGGGCATGAAAGGAGCACACCTAACCCAGGTGAGCTTCTCTCTCACTGCATAATACCTAGAACTGTAATTATTTGCTTTCTTACCTGCCTCCGACATTAGGTTGTGAACATCTCTGCAGCAGGAGCTGTATCTTTTGTTTCCACATTTCTGGTGCCTAGCCTAGTGCTCATCTCAAAAAATGTAAAATTATTTTTTAAAATAAGTGAATGAAAACAAAGCTTTGAAGTAGGGATATTATCTCTATTTTTCAGTTGAGGAAAGAGGCTCAAAACTTTGACTCCATTCAAGATCATACAATTAACCCATGGCCGAAGAGGAGCTCAAAACTGTTCACTGGCTTCAAAGTTAAACATTTCTTCTGCGACCTCACAGCTACGAGGATTTTTGTACTAGAGATGCCCATCGTATCCTTCCTATTTTCACATCCTCTTCTTAGAAAATAAATTCCATCCACAGGCTTGGAAGGAGGGAAGTTTTCCACTCAAAATGACCCAGTCCTCATTGATTGGCTCAGGAGTGGACATCTGACCCAGGAGGAAGCCCAGTCAGACCATCTCTCCTGGGAATCCAGAAAGACAAGATCAGTTGGCTGTGGGCACTGGACCTATTAGGTGCCAGAGAATAAGGGCGACTGAAGTTGACATTTTGGGACTTCTGATTTGGGTCCTGTGATTACAGTCTGAACAACCCAGTTGGCCACTAGTGTGGTCAATTGAGATCAGAGAAGAGAGTTCATGCTTTACCACCTAATGCTGTGCTTTTGAAAATAAAAATTTTATCTTTTTAAACTAGAGATGCATCAACATCATAAATTAAAATAGACCTAGAGAGCAAATGAAAGATTTAATTATAAGTATTAGTATTTACATAATTTGGTACTTTTCTCATTACTTCTTATGATTATTTGGTCTACTTAATACAATCTGAGTTCTTCTAAACACATTTCCATTCAGCCATAACTACAGTGCATAGTTATAACTATACGTGAACCTGTTGAAGGGTAAGTCAACTCATGTCACTTCTCTGACCCCTAAGGTGCTACGTTGCCTCACCATCTGTTATGTAACCTCTCTGATCTCCTGTTACTCATACCCTTGCTACATTGGCCTCCATATTCCTTCAACAAGCCAGGCACATTTCTGCTTCGTGGCTATATTAGTTTCCTAGGGCTACTATAACAAATACCACAAACCAGGGGGCTTAAAACAACAGAAGCTTATTGTCTTACAATTCTGGAGGCTAGAAGTTCAAAAATCAACGTTTTGGCAGGACCAGGCTCCCTCTGAATCCTGTAGGGGAGAATGTTTCTTTGCTTCTTCCTAGTTTCTGATGGTGGCTGTCAATCCTTGGCATTCCTTGGCTTGCAGCTGCATCACTCCAATCTCTGCCTCTGTCATCACCTGTCATTCTCCCTATATATCTGTGCCTCTGTGTCCTTTATAAGGACACAGTCATATATATTGGATTGGGGGCCACCATAAAGACCTCGTCTTAACTTGATTACATCTGCAAAGTCCATTTCCAAATAAGATCACATTTCACGGGTCCCATGGACTAGAACTTCAATAAGTCTTTTGGGGGATACAATTCAACCCACAACAATGGCCTTTGCAGTTGATTCTTCTGCCTGGAATGTTCTTTCCCCATATGTCTGCACGGCTTACCCTCTCACTTCCTTCTGGTCTTTACTCACATATCACTTTCTTGGTGAGGCCTTCCTTAGCCACCTTATTTGAAAGGGCAACATCCATTCCCCAGCATTTCCTAGTCCCCTTCTCCGCTTTATTTTCCTCTTTAGCACTTGTCATTAGCATATTGTATGTTGTATTTCACTTATTTATATTGTTTATTGTCTGTCTCCTCTGGTAGAATGTAAACTCCAGGAAGGCAGGGATTTTTGTGGGTTTTGTCCGCTGCTGTATTACCAGCATCTAGAACAGTGCCTGGCACAAGGGATGCTTGTTGAATGTATACAAGAATCTCCACATCTGAAGCCCTTTATGGGGCATATTCAGAGCTCTAAGATTGCTGCAGCTTCACTAAGGATCAGAGCTCCAACAGACCTTCTTCTATAGCCACAGGCTTTAACTCCCTAAACAGAAAGCCAAGTGTCTCGGTTCCTCATGTGGAGGAGTCAGGAGGGGAAATATCTCAGCCCCAAAGGTCTGGTTGTTGGAACTCTGGTCCACCAAGCATATCTGAAGGAAGAATAAGGCAGTGTCTCCCCTATATGGTCTTTGGTTTCTGGATTGTCCTCCACTTCATCTGTGAAACAGAACACAAGGAAAGAGATTAGGGCTATGGAGTCTCTAGCTTTGTCAAAATAAAACCCTCTTCTCATCTTTTCTGTCCAGGTGATGGTTTTTTCTATCTTCACCAGACTTCCTTCATTCTCCCCTGATGCTGATTTATAGTTTCACGAGGACTTTACATCCAGTGGTTCCCCCAGCAGCTGACACCCACACAGCTGCTTCAGAATTCTGATGTGACTCTTGGGGTTGTAAAAATTTCAGCTTATAGTATTGTGATGGTTAATTTTATGTGTCTATCGGGCTGGGCCATGATACTCAGATATTTGGTCAAATGTTATTCTGGACATTTCTGTGAGGGTGTTTCTGGATGAGATTAACATTTAAATCAGTGGACTTTGAATTAAAGCAGATTGCCCTCCATAATGTGGGTGGACCTCATCCACCCAGGTGAAGGCCTAAATAGAACAAAAGACTGACCTCTCCACAGCCAGAGGGAATTCTGCCAGCTGATTGCCTTTGGACTTGAACTGCAACATTGGCTCTTTCCTAGTTCTCTAGCCTGCTGGCCTACCCTGCCGATTGTGGACTTGCCAGCCTCCATAACTGTACGAGCCAACTCTTACAATCTATCTATCTACCTACTTATCATCTCTCTATCTATCTGTCTATCTATCTATCTATCTACCTATCTATCTGTCACTCCTATGGGTTCTGTTTCTCTAATAGAAATATTATCAGTATTTCTTACAGAATGAATTCTTTAGACAACAGTGAAACAGAACTTCGTGGTGTTTTCTGACACACAGTTAACATGTTCTGCTTCTTATGAAAAAGTAAAAGTCAAGCCACATGTTTTTCTTAGTCCTGGGGCTCTAGTTATAAGACTGAGAGCCTCTGTGGAGAGGGTGGTTTACAAAGGATGTAGAAGATAGAGTTCCAGAGAATGAGGAAACTCTGGTTTATTGCTAACAGACCATGCTTAGTTCCCGAAAAGACAGGGTAGGAAAACATTCACCTTCTCCAATAATCAAGAAGCCAAGAAAGATTTACTGAGTTGGGACAGACGGGAAGGAAGATAATGCTTTTCTCGGCTTCCTGAATAACTTCAGATCAGGATCTTAATTGAAAAGTAGGACTATTTTCTTTATCTGGCTTTGCCATGGACTAGCTGTGTGACCTTCAGCAAGATACTACTTCTCTGGGCCTTCATTTTCTCACTGTTAAAATGAGGCGGTTGAATCAGACAGTCTCTTTCAACCACGCCAGTCTATGTCACCTCAAACTCTAATTCCACGAAGGTGGGCCACCTCTTGTTTACCTCTGGGTACCCAGCAACTTGCATAGGGTGTAACATGTAGTAACACCTAGCGCATAGTGGACCCTATAAATACTAGCACTGAAGGAATAAATGAGGATTTAAAAAAACTAGGCAACTTTTGAAGAGAAATCAAGGAATCTCATCCTGTAGAGTCATATAAAAGATGTTTACCTTTATTATAATCAAAAAGCCTTTTCCTGAAATTTGTTTTATATATTCAGAGAACTAGACAGTGGGGTACAAAGTTATTTTGACCAACTCTGTGCCCCTGAGGGTCTCACCGTTTTGTTGAGGAGACAGGAAATGCATACCAAAGACACTAAATGACGATAGAAGGCATCATCTGCTGAGCCTGGTTAGTGGTATTTATATTCTAAGGTCTCAGAGTTTCCCAGGTTCGTGGACAAATCCGAGAGGGGGAGGACCAGCTGAGTACCCCCTTGTGGTCCCAGCTCTTCCACTCCATCTTCCTGACACTTTCTGTCTCCATCCTAAGCCAATGAAACAGTGCAGAAGCAGGGTACTCATTCACTGTCCCCTATACCCCCTGGAGCCACAGGCAGGTGAAAAACAAACCACCCTCTGCTCTTCTGTCCTGCCCCAGATTCTTTGGTCAAGTCAGACTTTTGCCCAGTGCAAGCCGAGAATCGTTCTGTATCAGCTGTCTCCCTGCAAGTCAGCTGACTAAGAGTTTTCTATCTTCATTTTACAACAGCCTAGAAAAGTCTTGAGTTTCTGGAGAGTCCCTCTGAGTCACAACTCAGAAAAACCTTCATATGTCATCCTATTTGACTTGATAAAGGCCTTCAGCTTTTAGCCCAGAGGAGCTGCCTCCTTGTTCTCAAATAAAGTGAACGTGGCTCCGGACCCGGAGACAGACAGGCGTGCCTTCTAGTTCCAGCTGCATCACTTAGGGACAGTGGGTGTTTGACATGTCACTTCTCCTCTCTGAGCCTTAGTTGTCTCCTCTGTAAAGGGAGGAGTGTAACAACCCCCCCACACTCACACACATACTTCACATCCTGCCACAGCGTTATTCTTCGAATTAAATGAGATCACATATGTGACGGTATTCTGCACTATGCAAATGTAAGTTCTCTTTATCATGAGATTTCAGCTTTGATGAGTCATTTCAGACATCGGTTCTTGACGTATGTGTCCTTCACTTAACCTCACCACCAACTGTTTCTGCTTTTCTTGTTTCCTGAAGAAATTATAAAGTTGGCCCTATGCATACTCCTGATGAAGTCTACTCCTATACCTTACCTAACATCTTTCTGGCTCCAACCTCCCCTTCCAGTGGGGCCCATAGGTCTTCCTTTCTTACTCTGTCAGTAATTATTCAGGAAGGTTTCTCCCAGTCCACGCTATCACTATGCACACCTGCATATCTGACACTGGCATATTTAATGTTTGCTCTAGTTGTTGTCATGTGTAGAAAAACCAAATCATGTCCAAATAAAGTCCAAATTATAAATGTCCAAATAAACTCCAAAATAAAAACCAAATAATGTCCAAATAATGATGGACTAAGAGTCAAGGGTCTTGTGTTCCAGAATTAACATTGTTTTTGATTATCCAGGGAGCTGTGGGCCGTTCAGCTCAATAAACATCTATTCAGGTCGGTGGATAGTGGGGGATGTTGCCTGCTGTGCATAGACTCAAAATTTTGTAGGTCACACAGATAAGGAAACCTCCAACTATGAGCAAAGTGCTATACAGTAGCACATACACACAAATAATATGTGTATATAGAGGAAGAAACATTTTAATCAACCTTCTAAGGTTGTAGAGGCACCACTTCAGAGAGAAGGTGATATCTGAGCTAGGCCTTGAAGGATGACTAAGATTTTACAAGGCTGATAAGGACATCAGGTGGAAGGAAGAACATTAAGACATGAACAAAATAGTGCGATACAGAAATGGGAAGAGTTTGGTGTGGCTGGAGCATAGGGTGCATGGTAGGGAGGGCAGGAGATGAGGCTAGAAGGAAGGTTGGGCTGAGTTTGTGTGGACCTAGCATGCCAGGCTTAGACATATGGGCTTTATTCTCTCCAGCCCTTCTCAACCAGAGTTCCACAAGAAAACTAAGCCCTCTTGACCTAAGTCACCCATTATACAACTCAATTTCTCCCCTGTACACACAGAATGATACTAGCTATGTACCATCCTAGAGAAAACTGAGAAAATAGTCACTCAAATAACTTTCTGTAGGGCTTGATTCTCACGTGGAAGCCCAGTTGAGAAACGCTGCTAGGCATTGGCAAGCCATCCAACATTTATGGAAAGCAAGTGACATCCTCATGTGTCACAGAAACATTGGTCTGGTGACAATGAGAAGAATGCTTTAGAAAGTGTACAGGTAGAGGATAAGAGATGAACTAAAATTCTATCGCAATAATTCAGGTGAGTGATGACCAGGGCTCAGGATGATGACAGTAGAAATGGAGGAAAGGGACATTCCAGAGACATTTAGGAGGCAGAATTGATGGAGTACTTCAGTGCTGTCTCTCCTGGCTTCCCAGCTACGATCTAGAGGTGTTTACTCCTTTCACCTGCAGGCTGGAGCCTTCCTGAGGAGCGTGAGAAGTTCATCAGCCACAACTCACCACAGGGGTGGGGAATGTTGCCGCTAATCTGGACTTTTTCATGCCTCTGGTGAACTCTGCACACCCTGATAGCCTCTGAGTTACAACTTTTCTCTTCATATGCCATCACCCTCCTGGGCATGTTGGTCCAGTCCTCACAACTGACCTTCAGCCTAATTCCTCTCCCCAGCCCCACATTTCCCTGCTGAGACAGAAGTCCTGCCCTAAACTTCAGACTGCTTGGCTGGAATCCTGACAGTCTGCTTCCCTATCCCAGCCCATTCTTCCAGGGGCTGGGTCCACTCCCTGGGCCTCACCCCTGGGCCCAATAATCCTGCAGCTGAGTTAAGTATTTCGAGCTCCAGTGCTGCTTGATCCCAACTGCCTCCTCCTGCCTGAGAGGCCCTGTGCAGCTGAGGTCCCATCGTGCCTCACACCTAAACCTACCCAAGTCGAGACATCACCAAACTTCATCTGGGGCCCATTCTCTCATTTGTAACCTTGAGGGGGTTACACTAGATGACTTCTAAGGTAGCTCCCTTCCAACACTAACATCCTGTGTCTCTAAGTAGGCCAACTGTAAAAGGAGGCTGCACTGGCACAGAACAATTGAGACTGCGAGCGAATGATTCAGACTCAGCAAAATTGTCAAGCTAACCGTGAAGCCAAGAGATTAGAGTGCAGCACACCATTGGGCAGACAGCAGCTAGGGACTCAAGCCACAGATTAGCCTACCCAGACAGCTGTGTGGACAAGATGACTGATGCCACACCCAGTTTATTAGTCATTCATCTTCAAGGAATTATCATCATTTTGTGTCCCCTCAAAAGACAACATTCACTTGTGACCTAAAGCTATTTAGTATGATGATTGTAATTCTACCTTTTCTTGTGGTTAGTGCTGGTGATTTCAGATTCAATATTATCCCATTAGTATTTTGCCCATTTCCTTGAAATAACCATCCAGTGAGTATTCCCTGAACTTCCTAAGTTCCTCCCAGATGCTTCTCAGGGTGTGTGAAAGAAAGAATGCAGGTCTTTGGAGACCTAGGTTTGAACCCCACAGCTACTTACTAGTCATGTGATTCTGAAAAAGTCAGTTAATCTCTCTGAGCTTTGGAAATAGGATAATGATACCTGCCATGCAAAGTTGTAGCCCAGATTGAAAGTGCCTGGTACCCAGAAGGTTCTCAGTAAAGTTCTCCCTCATACCAAGCCAGCTGCCTTCCATCTCTTGAAGTCTCTTTGCCCTCAGGATTGTTTCTCCTGGGCTTGCCTGGATTTTTCCTTTTCCTCCTACTGGAGCCTACAAGATCCCTGCCGGTCCACACAAGTTCCTGCTTCAATTCCAGACCCACGGCATGCTGAGTCAGCACTAGCACTTCCTGGAGTAGGGGCTTTTTTTTTTTTTTTTTCTGGTCAGGGCTGAGCAATCACAGGCCAAGAAAAATCTTGGTCAGAAGATGAGATCATAGCTGAAGTCTCTAAGAGCTCCATTGTCTCAGCTCCAGGGTCTGTTACATTGAAGACGTAAACGCCAGTGCTGTGATTCAGCACAGGGCCAGTCAGGAGATTTCAAGACAGAGTGCTGAAGTGGTGAGGGGGGTAAGGTAGGGTGCCACCAAGCTGCTGAGAACAGGAATTAGCTGTGGGACTCACATCTGTGTCTGACTAGGGGCTAACATTCTTGGTTCTTCCTTCAAGGGGATTCTAGTATCAGGGACTAGCATAGACATGGGCTGAAAGATCCTTAAAGATTATTTAGATCTACTTTCTTTTACACAGATGGAGAAACTGAGGCCCAAAGGAAGGAAATGACTTGCCCAAATCCACATAGAGAGAAAGGGCCAAAACTGTAGCTAATCCCAGGTCTCTAGCTTCGATGTCCATAATCATGTCCGTTATCCTATGAAAAAATAGTGATTGTTAAAATTCAACACGTTGTAAACACTCAGTAAATTTGATTGTTGAATAACAAGTGGAGGGAATGTTTGCTAACAGGATTTCTAAACAGGAGAGCATTCATTATTTCACCAAATATTTGTTGAGTCTCAAAAGGTAAGGAACGGCCAAATTGTGAAGGATATTGAATGCCATGCTTAGGAATGTGAATTTTACTTTGTAGGCAACATGAAGCCATCAAAGAGTTCAGAGTAGAGGATTGACGTGAATGGTTTTAGAGAGATCATTGGTGGCAGAGAGGAGGATGGATTGGAAGACATCAGGTTAGATGCATGAGAATATAGAGGGCTTTTAGAGTAGAGATGATTGATGGAGGTCTAAAGAAGGGCAGCGGGAGTAGGACAGAGAGAAAGCAGGAGAGCCAAAGGCCATTTCTTAAATGCACTCAATGCGGCCTGTGGTCAGGGGAACGACAGGTGAGCCAGCAGAGGCAGAAGCCTGGGCCCTGGGCCAGCCGAAGCACATCTTCTCAAGACCGTACACTCCTGCCCAGAACCCAGGCTAACCAAGTAGGCTTCACTCATGGCAGGGCAGCAGTCTGATGCCATAGCACTGTGCAGGACACAGGCTGCTAACAGTCACTCACAGTCACTGAAATTCTGACTGTGTGATAAACCCAGGGGGTCTGTTTTCCCAGCAAAGTGCAGCAAAGATGGTTGGTTCTGACATACAGATAGGAAGTCCTATTAAAAGAGGCTTTCAGGTAAAGGTAAAAATTCTTAAAAATTAAATCTTCTAGTCTGTACACTTTGGATAAGTTAAATTTCCTGGTAAAAGGCAAGTATCCTCCCCTACTGGCTATGGAATTCATGTATTGTAACAGTTAATAACAGAATTTGGTGTCAGGCAGTCCTGGGGTGAGTCTGGACTGGTACTCACTAGCTGTGTAACCTTGAGCAAGTTACTAAATCTCTAAGTTTTCTCAACCATAAAATTGGGATAATAATAGTACCTTTCTGAGGGTTGTTGTCCTAACGATATGAGAAAAGCCGTTTTAAGTGCTCAGCACAATGCTTGCCACAGAGCAAGTGCTCAAGCAGGGTCAGCTATTGTTAATTTTAATATCTCTACTGAATTATTTTGTAGTGTGGTATATAAAAAAAGTTCACTTTTGTAAGTGTAAGAAAATTTATGTTCAACATTTTAAAAAGCCTCCTGTTTGGATATTGTGTTTTAACCAAATTTTAAAGATTCATGGATGAGTGGTAGGACAACAGAACATTGGGTACATCTATATGCAGATTTTATAAATGTATGAAAGTATTTGTTTTACTTTCCCAAAATTTTGTGTTCAAAAAGTGATTTTGTTATTGATTTGCTGGGTGACTTTGAGTAAGTCCATTTAACCTTTTAAGGTTTTTTTGCTTCCTTTGCAAAATAAGTGGGCCTAGACTACATGGTTTCTAAGGGCCCTACCAATTCTAAAATAAGTACATGGGCTTATTTTACATTCTAATTACATATCACTTGCATAGCCATAACAGTAAGTCAAACCCCAATTATTTCTAAAGAAGATCTAGAACCCTTCATGATTATCAAGGATTATCGCAAGGAATCTGACACCATCCAATATTACGATGTGTGCACTTATATATCTAATGGCTCAACAGTGTGTAGCTGACCTGGAACATCTGGAAGGATATTCACAGCTGACAAACAACCAGAACTTGGGTCTCCTTGCACTTGCTGGTCCCTGGGGAAAAGTGACTTTTTAAAAATTTTTCTTATCTGTTCATTTGTGTTGTCAAAGTTTCTCTCTGAGAGTGGTGTTTGGTAATAAGTTAATCAATTTGGCAAGTACTGGGAACATGTTAGCAAAGATGTTCTTTATGAGCAAACCTTTCAAGTCCATCTCCAGCTCACTCTCCCAGCCCTTTTTCCCACTGATTTGCTTATGCACATTCTAATACAACCACACCTATCTCTGCTGTTTTCTTAGAACCAGTGTGTTTACCACTTGATGCTTTATTAATGCGCCTCTCAACCTGGAAACGCTTCTTTTTCTCTGAATTCTTCCTCCGCTCTCACTGCCAACATTTGTATGTCCAAATCCTCCTTGTCCTTCGAGACTTAGTGCAAATGTCACCTGTCCATAAAGTGTGGGTAATTTTTCCCTTTGGGTGCAGTGAATCACTCCCCTAGCTGGGCTCCCAGAACATTTTTGGAATGTACCTCTCAGATGGTCCCCGACAGACAGAATAGCTCAGTGGGAAGGCACACAGAGTCACTTAAGTTCAAATTCCTATTGGCCCCTTGGGTGTGACCCTGGGCAAGTTATAAACCTCACCATGCCTCAGTTTCCTCATCCATAAAATGGACCTAATGGTAGTACCTTCCTCATAAGGTTTTTGTTAGGTTTCAATGAGCTAGTACATGTAAAGCATTTAGAATAGTGCCTTGCACATAGTGAGTGTTAAAGACATGCTAGGTATCATTACTTTTCTCCTTCTGCCTTAATTTACAGATACAGTATCCCTGTCTTACATTTCCTCCTAGACTCTACACTCATTGACAGCAGGGAGGATTTGTGCCTGTTCATTTTTTGTAGCTCCTTTTGTGCCTAGAACTTAGCACACAAAACTAGACTTTGGAAAACTTAGGCCGAAGTCCTTCCTCCCTTTTCATCCCTAATATTCACAAGACAACTTTATCCGTGAAATAAGCGGTTCCATGAATTAAAGAAGCTTATTGTAATTAAATGTCAAATTGGACATTAGACTAAACAGTCTATAGTCAGTTGCATGCCAGTGCGTGTGGTAAGGACAGGGCTTTTTAAAGAATGTCACATGTGGTGTACAGCTATTTGACTCAGGGCTCCCAACTCCTAGTCCTGGCCCCATTCCACCATTGCAAGCAGCCAGAGTCTGTTACCTTTGCTTCCCAGGGTGGTAGGTCAGCCTGGCTCCAGCTGGCCATGCACAACGATGACCAAAGCCACCATAGAGCGCAGTTCGCTCTGCAGAAGCAGCCTCACCCATAATCCGTGCATAAATTAGTGAACAAATATGTACTAAAGGAAAACATTACGTGTTACTCCTGCAGGACAAAGTTCAGTTGTAGTCAAGATTGCAGGTCAAATTCAGATCTGTTTCTGAGATATTTTCCGCAGACATTTCTCACATCTTTGCAGAGACACTTCTTGGTCTGTGTTCATGGATTCGTGCCAAACAGCAGTTTACCCAACACTGTGATTCATTCATTTGTTTTCTATACACTGTTTGACTTTTCTCATATTTGGCTTTGGCTGAGGATTCTCAGCATATGCTTTACATGGCTAGTCAGTCAGACTTTTTAATATTTTTGGATTTTCATACAAAAAAAATTCAGACCAAAGGCCACGATTTTTCTAATAATAAATCAGGGACTACTCATTTTCTTTTTAGAGGGTATTAACTTCAATTTAGTTCTCTTCTGTGAAATTTCACAGCATTAATGTTAAAACATAATTCAGGTCAAGTATAATATCAGCTCCTGGTGTGTCATTAATAGATCCTAGTTCATGAATAAGAGCCATACAAAGTAGCACAGGACCACAGAAATGGGCCTGGAGAAATTAGGCCAGAGAGAGCTCAAAGAAATTACGGTATAAGATGCTTCCTTCTCCCTGCTCTCAGGAGCAGCATTTCTTTTCTCATGGCTAACCTTAGACACAGGCAAAGTAGGCACTGGCCTGTAGCATGGAGGGGTAACTGAAAGTCTCAAAAGTTGGTTCTCCAACCTGCCTCTTATGCTTGGCATTCCTACCTTTAGAGAGGCATTCCATTGGTAGAAGTGTGCTCCAGAGACTTCAGTCCATTCCTTTACTAATTCATTCATTCATCAAATGTTTATTAGTGCCACTATGTGCAGCAACTGGGGAGAGAAAAGTGAGTGGGACACAAAGCTTTTTGTCTAGTGGGAAGACCAAACTAGGGAGATGGTTGAAACTCGGTGTGTTTGACAAGCGTCATGATAGAGCTTTACCTATGGGGCTGCCAGAGAGGTAGGAGGTGACCCCAGAGAATGGGATGTCACAGAAAACCATGAGTGGAAGAATGATGAAGTCACATACCTTACAGAGGACAAGTAAGGTGAAGAAAGAAAATGTTGAGTGCAGATACCTCTGACAGGGTAAATGGTTCAAGCTGGCTAGTAGTCATGAACAAAGTAGAGTGAACAGTAGCCCTCCAATTTCACAATGTGAAAAGCCATCTGAAAGCTGGGTAAAATTTGACCCACAAGCTAAGACTTGATAGGAAAGTGAGTGAGAATGGACAGAGCCTGGGAACCCGGGCCAGTGATCAGGAGGGGCTGAAGTGGGCTCTTGGTTGTTGGAGGAACAGCGTAGGGCCCTGAGGCCAGAGGTGGAGGTGCTCTGAGACAGGCACTGAAAGAAAAGGTCAGAAAATGCCAAGCAAACTTCGCTTATTTAGTAATTTGGGCGAAAGTGGGCACTAGCTCATCTGTACAGTGAGGTACCAGAGGGAAGCCATAAATTAAATCAGAATTAATGTGGTTTATATAATTAAAATAGGCAAAGATGTGTCTGGCTTCAGGACTAGGAAGACTATTGAATTCTCAAATTCTAATCACTCCCACCACTGCACTGTAACCCCAAATAGCATACGCTCTTCCAACTACTTAGAGTTCCTCTGTGCCCTCTTCTTTGCCCTTCAAGGCTTGGCACAAGTGTCCCCTCCTTCCCTGATGGTTCAAATGAGTATGCCTGCTCCAAGCTCCCATTGCAATTAGTACATCCCTCTCATTTGATTAATACACATCACATTGGATGGTTCCTGTCTACTTTTCTTTCTCCCTCTCCACTAGGCTATAAGTTCTCTGAGGGCAGAGATTGCCTTCCATCTCTATATCACCAGGACTTAGACATACTAGAACATAGTAACTGCCAATACATACCTGTGGCTGGCTGGATGGTTCCATGGTTCTGTGGATGGATGGAGGGATGAATGGATTGATTGAACAAATGGATGAACAACTGACCTAAATCAAAAAGGGTTTGTCTTCTCCTTAGGAATACAGACCTCAGGGAGTTGATGCTCAGAAAAATGTTGACCATATTTTAATGCTGTGGCAAACCATGGATAAAAAGCAGGCAGCTTGGTCCAATTCAAACCTAGTCGCAATTTTGTGTGCTTTATTTTCCTGTTCACATGTGCACTGCAATTTTTGGTCAAGGTTTGCTTAGTAAGCAGGTTTCAAAGACATGGAAGGAGGAGCAATGTAATCAAGAAAGCTCGAACCAGGAGCCAAGAGGTCTGGCCTCTCTTCCTGATCCCCCACCAACTTCCTGATTATGTAACCCAGATGAGCTTCTTATCTCCATATGCTTCCGGTCTCCCAATCTTTCCCCTTTGGTCTCCTTCTCCATCCTCCACCCAGTTATCTTTTCTGAAAACAAATTAATCATCTTGTTTTTTGCTTTAAAACCTCTTCATTGCCTCCAGAACAAAGTCCCAATTCCTTAGCAGGCAAGCAAGGTCTTTTTAGTATCTCTCAAGGCTGACGGCCCTTTATCACGTCCCTGATATCCAGTTACTCCATGGTCCCATTCTCCTAACCAAGCTCTTTTGTATCTCCGAATTTTTTCCACACACTGTCTCTGATATCAGCAATGACCTTCCACACTCACTTCACCTGGTGAGCTCCTGTTTGTTCATCTTTTAAGACTCAGCCAATGATTTGTGACAACATGGATGGACATTGAGGGTATAATGCAAAGCGAAATAAGTCAGAGGGAGAAGGTCAAATACCGTATGATTTCCTTCATTAAGTAGTAGATAATAACAACAATAAACAAACACGTAGAGACAGAGATTGGATTGGTGGTTAGCAGAGGGGAAGGAGGGAGGGAGGAGGGTGAAAGGGATAATTCGGTACATGTGTGTGGTGATAGGTTGTAATTAGTATTTTGGTGGTGAACATGATGTAATCTATGCAGAAATAGAAGTATAATGATGTACACCTGAAATTTTTACAATGTTATAAACCAATGTTACTGCAATAAACAAAAAATTAAAAAAAAAAAAAAAAAGACTCAGCCAATGGAGCCCAAGAGTCGCTTCCTCAGCAAGGCCTCTTCTAAGTCCTTCAGACAGTGTAAGCACCTCCTCCCCTCTGCTCCCATAGCTTTTTCACTTGTTTATCTCAGACTGCTTATAACTCTGATAGAAATTACTTGCTTACTCATCCAACTCAGTTGCAAAACTCTGAGTTCCTCTAGGTCAGGGGCCATTATCCTTGTATCTCCACTTTAGTTGCTAGCACTTAGGAGGTTCTTTAATATATACTGCTTGAAAAAATCCAATGAGTTATATTGAATTTTACATGCACTGTCTCCCTAAATGTGGCTGCTATTCACCTGTCCTCCATCTCCCCGAGAAACCTAATAATAAAGAATAGTTTGTTGAGCACTGCTCAGGCAGCAGGTACCATTCCATTCCTTCATATGTGATAACTTCATTTAATCCTTATCCCAGCCCTGCAAAGCAGGCATTACTATTACTTTACAGATAAAGAAGCTGAGGCCCAAAGAGGTTAAGCATCTTTTCCAAGTCACAGTTAGTAGATGGTGGAGCTAGCATTTAAACTGAAGCCTCTCAAACTTCAAAGCCCATGGCCTTTCCATGACATCACCTGCTTCCTCAAAGGCCTGCACCTGGTAGGTTCCCACTTGGTCCTTTCATTGCTCTGAACTGCATTGACTAGGAGTCAGGCTCACCCCAGCTTGCAGCTGGAGCCTGGCCATCGCCAGAGCCCATCCGTGACACCCTAAACAGCCACATCTAAATGCTGGCAGGCATGGAGACAAAGCCCAGATCCATTTCCTGGCAGGAAGCTGGGTCTTCTAGCACATGGAACCAGCCCTCCATTTTCTGGGATCAGATGGAGCCCTCAGCATGGAGGCCCTCTCACAGTTCATGGGTTTGTCTCTGATATCCAGCCCAGAAGCTGTCTGCTCCCTGGCTCCCTGGAGAATAAGAAATTATTGGCTTCTGGGATGTTTTTCTGGTCACTGAGGCCTCAAGGTGAAAGGTTTCTTGGATAGAAGTGAACAGGCCAAGTTTACCCAACCCGGCAAGGCATAAGGCAGTCCAGAGCCACATTCCATTAGGGCCCACAGAACAGCTGGGGCTTCTTCTCCTCAGCAAGATACCTGCCTTCCAAGGGTTGAGGTCTTTCTGCCCCACTGCACAGCTGACATAAAGCAGAAATCCCAATGCAGAGCTCCCTTCAGGCTGGAGACTGTGCACAGAGCCCTCAGAAGTTTCTTCTCCCTCTGCTTTCCCCTGCAGCTGCTAAGCCTTCAGCTTATGGGGACAAGAGAGGCTCACAAAAGGAGGTGTGCTCTTGTCCTGAAAATGTCCCATAGGAATATAGGAGAGAGCCAGAGGGGAGAAGACTATTTACATGCTTGTGAATACCTATTAAGTGCCAGCATTTTACATACATCATCTCATTTAATCATCACTGTAATTATTTTTCCCATTTTAAAGATGTGCAAACTAAACTGACTCTGAGCACAACAACATATTTCCTTTCATTGATAAAAGGGATATTGTGAAACATTTGACCGTGGGCCTGAGAATCAGCGACTGGATCTCAGCATGAGGGTGAAGTGGGACATAGCCACACAGGTAGAAGTCTTGCACTAGTCATGTCTGCTCATCATCTGAGATTCTGTGATATTTGCCCTGTGTGTTCCTGCTGGAATCAGGAATCCTACCTGGTTTCCAAATCCTGCTGTCCAGTACTAGGGAAAGGAAGCAGTTTGAATTTTACAAAAAGAGCCTTAAACTAGGAGTTTGAATACATTTGCTTGAGTCCCAGTTCTATTAACGTATGTGAGATCTTGCCTTGGTTTTCTCATCTGTAAAGTGAGAATAGAAAGAACTGATTTCTTATCTTTGGATTTTTGTGAGAATTAAATGAAATATTGAATGTCGGGTGCAGGGAAGGCCCACAGAGAGCTGGCCTATTCATAAATGAACCACTTTCTTGTCGACTGTCCCTTCTATGAAGCTCCACAGAGCTCCAGCTTCTATGGAGCTCCATGATGGGACAGCACCCCATTGTCCAGATTAATTTTTCTCCTACCCTCACCCTCCCCCCGCTCCCAAAGTAAATGAAGAGCAATTTGGTGTAGAGGAAGGAGCATAGACTAGGAATTGGATGACATGGGTTTGAGTCCTGATTTTATTAATTACCAGCTGTGAGATAATTAAGCGAGTCACTGAGCCTCAATTTCCTCATCTGTTGAATGGGGTTGATATTAGTACCTATCTCGTAGGGTTGCCATGAAGACTATATGAGATAATGAATGCACCAATGCTTTGTCAATTCTAATGGGCTATACAAATGCAAGTTATTCCTCCAACGAAAGTTTTTGACTATCTGTCAAAAGTGGGCCAAGCATGTGCCAGGTGATGAGGGTACAAAGACAACAAGACGTGATCTCCGTTAAGCTCAGTCTGAGGAAGAGACCGACACATAAACAGGTAATTACAACACAGTGTGGTAAGTGCCATGACGGGAGGAACAGAATGCTTGAAGAACAGAGAGGGGCACTGTGTTGGTTATCTGTTGCTGCAAAACAAATTACCCCACAGCTTAGTAGCTTAAAACAAGCACTTATTATCTCACATATATATCGAGAGTCAGGAAACTGGGAAAGGCTCAGCTGGGTAGTTCTTGCTCAGGGCCTTTCATGGGGTCAAGCTGTTGGCCAGGGTTGTAGTCTCTGAAGACTTGACTGGGGCTGAAAAATCCACTTCCAAGCTCACTCACGTGGCTGTCAGCAGGAGGCTTCAGTTCCTTGCCATGTACGCTTCTCCATACATCTGGTCAAGACTTTCTCTAAAGCAAGTCATCCAAGAGAGAGAGCATGTGAGAGAGAGCACCCAAGATTATAACCTAATCTTAGAAGTGCCATGCTATCACTTCTGCCATTTTCTGTTGGTCACAAAGACCAACCATGGTACAATGCAGGAGGGAAATACACAAGAGTGTGACTTGCAGGAGGTGGAGATCATTGGGAGCCATCTTGGATGCTTGCTACCACAGGCACCCAACACCTGAGTGAGAGAGGTGGAGCCAGGGAACATTTTCTGAAGCTTAAGCTCAGCTGTATTTTTACTGCTTCTTGTAGTTTCCACTGGATGTTGGACTACCAAAAAAACCTTTCTTTTCTAGTCAGATTATTCTGTTATTAAATGGAAATGACATTGTAGAAAATATAGAGCAAGCTTAGAGCTGTCAAGAAGTGGTAATGACTTTGATGGTGGGGGCAACTTTCAGCTCCGTCTCCAGGGCGGCTGCACCCTGGTGAAGTCAGGCCCCACAAGACCTGGTATGGCCCTTCAAATCCACAGCCCACCCACAGCTGACCACCAATAACCACCACCCACCCCTATTTGCAGTGCACCTTACACTGTACTTCAAGGCATGTGTTTATGTGGCTGACATCCCTCTAGACTGCCCTGAGCAGGCAGGGACAAGGTCCGCCTGGTACATGGCTGTGTCCAACATCTAGCATGGTGCCTGGCACTGTGCCTAACTGTTTGACAAAAGAATTAATGGAAACTGAATGCATACAGGGCACACTGTAAATATTACAGGGCCCATGCAGGTAAGTAATTATGACAACATTTAAGGAGGTAGGCTAGGTGTTTCCTGAGTGTCTGGCCCTCTGCTACATGCTTCTCATGTATTATTTCATCTAATACTCATAACAATCCTATAGTAGGTATTATCCCCATTTAACAGATGAGGAAACTAAGGTTACACAATTAGAATGTTATAAACCAATGTTACTGCAATAAACAAAAAATTAAAAAAAAAAAAAAAAAGAAAATGGGAGAGCCTGGATTTAACCCAAGTCTGTCAGACTCCAAAGCCTGTGCAACTAAGCATATCACATCAGATCCTCTCAAACAAAGAAACAAACAAAAAATTGCAGATCTGAAGTATTTTGGGTGATTAACAAACCAGATAAAAGAAAATTAGACAGACTTAAGGAACGACTTGATCAGTATCTAAAAACCAGATGTCTCCTCCTCACACACAGACATTGCAAATTTTCTCTAGGAAAAAAATTTTTCCAGGGGCCGGTAGTGTAGCAGTTAAGTTCACACATTCCGCTTTGGCAGCCCGGGGTTCGCCGGTTCAGATCCTGGGCACAGACCTACTCACCACTCCTCAAGCCATGCTGAGGCAGTGTCCCACATAGAAGAGCTACAACTCTGCAACTAGGATATACAACTATGTACTGGGGCTTTGGTGAGAAAAAAAGAAAAAGAGGAAGAGTGGCAACAGATGTTAGCACAGGGCCACTCTTCCTCAAAAAAACATTTCCAGGAAAGCCCAGCTTAAGTCCTGCCTTTTCCAGGAAGCCTTCTTTGACTCACAGTGATGCTTTCCTCCTGTAACCTCCTGGGGCACTTGTGATAGTGCCTTTCAGCTGATCCTTGCCATATGCAGTCTTGATTTGCAGCTTATCCTTTTAGTAACTCAGGTCCATGGCTTCCTTCTCTATACAGTGAGAAAGCTGGACTACTTCAAAGGCCCTTTCTGGCTTGCACACTGTAGGAGATATTTCCTGACTCCCCAATGGCACAATCACCTCCTTGCAGGGAGGGCCACGTGGTTGCACAGGCAGGCCCTCCCCGATAGCAGAGCTTTACCCGATTGTGTTGGAACAGCCTCTTTCTGCTGTCTCCTGACTACCCTGTAAGCTCCTGGGACTCCTTACAGTGTCCTCACACCTAGCACAGGGCCTGGAGCACAGAAGGCTCTCTATAAATATTTCCTAGATAAATACATGGTGGGGGGGTGGTGAATAAATGAAGTGGTGGTGATGACTGTAACTTGAATGAAATCCTCTAATACCATCGGCATTAGTAAATCAAGAGTGGTGATTTCTCATACCTGTTTGGTGCTTTGACCTTTCCCAGGCAGCATCTCCTTCAGGCCCTTCTCCTTGTCCTGAGGCTTTCTGCCCACAACAGGGTGGAGCATTTGGGATTAGAGTGGACAGAGCTGTAGACACAGGGGCAAACTTTGACTCGGCTTATTCCAGACTGCCTGCCGACTCATCACCCTCCTATTTGGACTTATTACCACATCCTTTATTGCAAGATACTTTCATAACAGGAGGCAGTGCCCCAGCTTACAGCTTTATTTGCACTGGTTACATATGCGATGGGCTTGCTCTCGGATGCCATCACCCATCTCTGGCAGTTAGGGAGGGGGTGATGACTTCATCTCAGCCGTAGCGTTTCTCCTGGGTCCCACTGCCAGATGGGAGCTCTCAGGAAGCCTCCTAGAGCAGCTGCTCTCTCACAGGGAAACAGTGTAACAGGAGCCTTCCTACTCATCTCCATTGATGCCTCTGATAGAACGTTTACTTGTTAACCTTTTCTCTACCCTCTTCCTAACTATTGGGAAGGAACATAGTGTTGTGGTAAAGAGCATGGGTTTTGTAGTTAGAGCTGGATTTTCATCCTGCTTCTGCCTCTTATTAATACGCATCTTGGGCAAATTACTTAACTTCTTTGAACCTTAACTTTCTCGTTTTTAAACGAGGAACAATAATATAATTTACTTCATAGGATTGCTGTGAGGATTGAGTTAATACTGCAAAGGGTTTAGAACAGAGCCTGCAAATAATACACCCTCAATCAATGTTAGCTTTCATAATTAGCTATTATCTGGTGTGTCCACTGCTCACACTGAGACTGGACGGATCACTGAGGATGGAGTGAGTGGGTAGTGAGAGGCTGCAGGTGAGTTTTTATCATCACCATCAACATGATGGAAGGCGAAAGAAATTCCGATTTACTAAATGCTGGCCTGAGAGATTTACTTACTTGAATTCATTTAATGTTTAGAAGGACTCCAACTTACAGGTAAAGCTCAGGGGGTTAAGGAACTTGCACCATGTCACACAGTCAGGGTGGGGAGCAGGTCTTCCTGACATGTTCTTTCTCTGTTCCCCAGCAACAGAGTTGCTGGGGGTCCGCTGGAGCCTTTCATTTTGTCTTTCTCAGTGGTGAATCCATACATTTACCTTCACATCCTTTTTCCCACTTAGAACTAAAACTGCTCTGTACATTTAGTTCTTACCTCTCTCCCACTTCCTTTGCTGGTCCCAAGATGTTCTGAGTCCTGCTTCAACTTCTCTATTCCGCTCAGCCCGCGTCAGTCTGTTTTCCTGGCAAACTCTTTCCTGTTTCTCTGGGTCTCTCACCCTTCTCCTTTCTGTACACAGCAATTTCATTTCCACAGCCTCAGCTTACCCTGTGACCGAGACTGTCTGTGCTAGCCTCAGCAGGATTGTTATCAGTAGCTCAGGCCGGGCTAGGTCAGCTGCACACCAAGTGTGGGGTTGGGGGTAGGGGGGATAGTAGGGAGTGTGGGGGCTGCAGAAGGCAACCAAGCTGGGGGTATGGAAAGCCAGTAGGGAACCAGGGAGTGACCCTCTTAGGTGAGGCAGACAGTATGCCTGGGGATGCTGCTGAGGCAATGGAGAAGTTAGAGTGCTCTGTCAGGGTTCCTGGCAGATCTCGGGGGAACAAAGGCTGCGAGCCCTTGGACTTGGGGGAGTTAGGGTAAGGCAGGCTGAATACTAGGTTTTAAGCTTGTATTGTATCAAGAGGTGCTCAGTTCCAACAGTATTCAAAAATGGAGTGGGATTGGGGATTTATGGACAGGCCCAGTTTCAGACAGTCTATTTGTAATAATAAACCATCAGATTGTCCCAGAAATTCCATTATTTTGGCATCCAGATTGGATGTTCCAGGCTACCTCTCCTACTCAGAAGTTGCACCAAAAATCTTTGGCAGACACAGGGTTCTGATTTTTAGTTCTGAAAATGCAGTCACTGTACCTCACCCATATTCCATGATCTAAAATATTTGGAGGAATGGTTATATGCTATCATTGCACTCGATTTTTTCTGACTTCCTGGAATAAATACTTTTGCCTACCATATTATTTCTTTTTTCAAATTAAAAAAGTTTTAACTATACAAGAAATATCATAAATAAATGAATATATCCTTTGCAAAAAAATTTCTAAAAATAATAAGTAGTAAGCAAATAAAAAGTAAAAATCTTACTCATCCCCACTCAACCCCACATCCTTCTGTAAATTACCCTCCTATTTAGTAAGTACTGTAAATAAGTTTCTGCTCTAAGTTTTTCTATGCACGCAGGAAGATGCAGTAGTATAGAGGGTTATGGTTGGGGGAAAGGAGGTGTGGGCTGCCCTGGCAGGGAGTACCATTTTATCACTGACATTGTTTATTTTCACTGTTCATGGCGATAATGAAAAGCAGACCAAGTAGATTTTATTATTATTTATTATTGTTTTCTAGTTATTGTTTAAAATTATCTTCAGTTGATGCATCCCCTTATTGCCTACACCCAGGGCAGACAGCTCCCCCTGCTTTGCCCCACCATGATATACCACTGGATACATGTCCAATATATACATTCATGTATTTTTTAATGGGATGATCAGTACATTTTGTTCTGCAATTTGCTTTCTCTCTCTCACCTCAATTTAGCAATATGTCCTTAGGATCCTTCCATGATAGCACATAGAATTAGTATAATTTTATCACCTTTTTGTTAACAGCTGTGTAGTATTCCATAGTACGAGTGTACCATTCTCCTATTAATAGATATTATGTCGTCCAATATTGTGCCACTGCAAATGCTGCAGCATCACTTATTTCCAGTGGCACAAAATTGGAAGCAACCTATTTTTGGATGTCCTTACATAACATCTAATATCCATATATTCAATATATGATAATAATATTCATTTATTGAATGCTTAGTTTGAACCAGGCTTTGTTCTAAGCACTTTGCATGTAATAACTCATTCAATTCTCAGAATAACCCTATGAAATAGAGACCACATATTATCATTCCTATTTCAGTGCTGAGGCAACTAATGTAATCTCACCCAACATCCTATAACTAATAAGTGGCTGAGCTGGGATTTGAACCACAGCACTCTGACTCCAAGGTCTGCACCAGTGACCCCACTGTGCTGTGTGAGCCCCTTGTGCATTTGTACAAGTTTTCCTCCAGGTTAGATAGCTGGAAATGGAAAATTTTATACATACTTTCAAATTGCCCTGTAAAAATGGCTGTGCCAATTGACAGTCTCACAGGGTTTGAGAATGCCATTTCCCCTGAATCCTTGCTAGTGCTGGATTTTATCAAGTTTACTCATTTTTGACAACTCGAGGGGTAAGTAGAAAATGTCTTTATTTTGCTCTCTCGTTTCAATGCTAGTTTGGCTAGCATGGTACATAATTCCAGGCTCAAAATTATTTTCTTTCAGATTTTGAAGTTGTTGCTTCATTGCTGCCCAGCATTCAGTTACCTTTCAAAAGTCTGAAAGCCAATCTCATTTTTGTTCCTTGTAGGTAAGCTGTTTTTCTTCTTCCAATACTTTTAGGGTTTTCTCTTTGTCCTTTCGGCTCTGAAACATCCCAAATATTTGTCTAAGTAAGGACTTTTAAAAATTTACCATGCCTGACACTAGGCAGGCCCTATGAAGTCTTGAGCTTTCCTTTGGGTTGGGAAAATTTTCTTTAATTATTTCTTTGTGGATCTCTTCCCCACCAAATCTCAGTTTTCTCCATTCTTTTGAATGAATGGAGGCACTTCTGAATCAATATTTTGGGTCTCTGTATTACTCTCCTTGGGCTGTCATAACAAAATACCATCAACTGGGAGGCTTAAACAACAGAAATTTATTTTCTCACAGTTTTGGAGGCTAAGATCAAGGTGCTGGTCAATTCAGTTTCTGGTGAGGGCTCTCTTCCTGGCTTGCAGATGGCTGCCTTCTTGCTGTGTCCTTTCATAGCAGAGAGAGAACTCTAGTGTCTCTTCCTCTTCTTATAAGGGCATCAGTCCTATCAAATTAGGGTTCCACCCTTATGGCCTCATTTAACTTTTATCACCTCTTCACAGGCCCTATCTCCAGATTCAGTCACAATGAGGTTAGGGCTTCAACATATGAATTTTGGGGGGACACAATTCAATCCATAGCAGTCTCTTAATTTTTCTCTCAAATTTTCCATTCTTGATCTTTTCTGTGTATTCAGGGAGATTTCCTCACACTTAGCTTCTGGATAACATCCCCAGTTTTTGCCATATCCATTCTATTATTCATCTCATCTATTGCTTTTTTTAGATTTACTATTATCATTTTTAATTTCCTTTTTGTTTGTCATTTTTCCTTTGTCACAGCAGTTGTTTGTTCCTTTTTCACAGCAGCCTGCTACAATATGCTCAAGCATCTTTCTAAGTATGATGCTATTTAGGATTTTTTAAGTGTTCCTTTGTGTTCCTTTATCTGTCTTTTCCCTGGGGTCAGTTTTCACTTTTTTCATCTTTGTGCTTTTCTTGAGAGCTGTTGAATTTCCTCAAGTATCTGGTGATTCCTGGTTTTCCATTAATATCTATGTTTGAAGGAGAAGTGGGTAGTTTGTTTAAGTTTTCACTTCAGTTTTGAGCTATCCGTTTTCCCTGCAGGCTACTTTGATGAATGGAGGCTTAGTTGGGATATTTTGTGAGTAGGACATTTTGACTGCAGACCTCCTATGTGAGGTTCTCGGAGCAGGCAGAGAGGCAGGCATGGGGACCACCTTCCTCCCCACTTGGTCCTTTGTCCATCCTCAAATGCCAAAACAAGGAAGCCTTTTACTGCGATGAAGCCACAGTTGACAGGCTGGGCAGGAACAGGTTTTCCTTTTTCCTCTCTCTGTGTCTGTGGAAGGTGTCCGGGGTTACTTCCAGCCCTGCTTTTCTCACAAGCCCTTGCACCCCAGCTGGCGCCCTCCCCAGACAGGCGATTTCCTTTCTTAGAGTGAAGTTCCGTATTTTATCTGGGGATAACCCTCCCACCTCCCACCTCTCCATTCCCGCTACACCCCCTCCTCCCAGCTCCCTGAAGTGGAGGGAGGAGGACAGAAGTCTGTCGTTCAGAGGGCAGTTTAAAGATTAATAACCCTGATGATTGCTTCACAACCCCCTTCTATTCTTTCTATTTGCTTCCCCTGAGCTAAGAGATTCTCTGCTCCTACCTTCAAAGTAACTTCCTCTTAACAGTGTTTGGAGTGTGTTAATACTCTGCTCTGGGTTCTCTATCAGTCTGATCCCAACTGCTTCCTATCCAGATTTTTATCTTAATTTCAGCCTCCTCTCTTGTTTGCTGGCACTGGTAGGCAGCTACTGATTGTAAAAGCCATCTTTTTTGTCTTTTAAGGGATTTATCGTGGGAAAGTAGTATATGTTTGTGCTTAGTTCTCCATCTTGATTTGCTTCCTCCTCTTCCGTGTTATCTCTCCTCTTGATAATGAAATTTCTGACAACAAAATGTGCTGTTGGAATACAGCTTCTTTGTTAATTAAAATAATTTCATTTAATAAAAAGTTACAGACACTTACATATATTATCATGTTGAAGCCTCACAACAATCCTGTGATGTAGGCATCAAAATCCCCATTTGGTAGATGAGGAAGCTTAAACTCTGGAAGGTTAGTTGAATTAATTGAGGCCACACAGCTAATAAGAATAGACCTAAAGTCTGACTCCAAAGCCCACTTTATACTGCTCTACACTGTTTAAATGTTTCTGTTATATTCATTTTCTCAAGTTTTTAGTATGTTTATCTTTACTTCCTCCACTAATAGATAAGTTCCTTGAGAGTAGATGCTCTGGCTCTAGTTTCTTATTTCTATTGTGATGTGCCTGACTTAATGTACTACAAACAGCAGTCAATTTAAACTTTGTAAACCAACTAGGTAAAAGCAGTTAATTACAATTATGTTATTATCTTGCACATAATTATATATTAGAGTTGTACAATTGCTTTATTTGAGGTCTTTAAATGTTTTATTATGTCCACTATACTAAAGATTGGGTTGCAAATTGAAATTAAAACTGGAGGAAAGGTCAAAGTTCAGCTTCTGGCTAGAGTTGTTATGGCAACTCTCTGAGCAATAAGTCTGCATAAAAAGAGGGAGAACAAGAAGAAATACCTATTGATCTCTAATATTACCTCCAGCTAATTGTTTTTCTCTCTATTTCTTCAATATTGCAATATGTTGAGATGACTAGAATTGTGATTCTTTCATGTGTTCCATTGTATTCACTGTCATATTATTCTCTTGAAGCCTGCCCCAGGAAGAGCCAACTTTCTGAAGGAGACAGAATCATGTCTTGACATTCCTAATGATGGGGTAACCCGGGTTTGTTTGTTCTGATCCCATTTGGTTCATTCATTCATTCAGCAAATATTCACTGAGCATTTATGAAATTGGCTGCACTGTAAAACCACCCAGGGAACTTTTCCAAAATACCATGACCAGATTTCATTCCTAGACTAATGG